TCCCAGATACCCCCAAACCCAGTCATAGAACCCTTATATGGGTAGTTTTCTAAACGAGGGCACCCTTTTAGGGTCCTGTTATAGGTGTGCCGTACTATTTTGGGGACCTAGACAGGGACCCCAATTTAGAAAATATCTATATCAACAACAGTTCCTGAATTAAGCGCTCTGGGTTATGGGTTCGCAGTTTCCGGGTTTAGGCTTGGGGTCTCTGGGTTCGGCGTTTAGGGTTGAGGGTTTGCTTGAAAGCAGAAGTTCGGGCCTAGCGTTCCCAAGTTTCGCAATTTAGGGCTTAGAGTTCAGGGTCTAAGGGTTCAAGCTCAGGGTTTAGGGTTTAGGGTTTAGGCCAAGTTTCGCAATTTAGGGCTTAGACTTCAGGGTCCAGGGGTTCAAGCTTAGGGTGCGGAGGATGAACATTTCGAGCTGTCTAATTGAAGCTGTATTAAGTACTCCCTTAGGTTCCCTAAAGCTCCCTAAGGATCCCTAGAACCCTCCCCCCTTGAGCCACCCTCCCTTAAGGATCCCATAAGTTGAGCGTTGTATACGCTGCATGCGATGGTGCGAATCAAGAACAGGCATCACGGTATCCCCTGGGAGGTCGACACCCCCTGAACCCTAAACCCTGAATCCTAAACCCCAAACCCCAACCCCTGAATCCTAAACTCTGGGTATAGGGTTTAGGGTTTAGGGTTTAGCCCTAAACCCTAAACCTTAAACCCCACCGAAACAGAAGCTCTGACGCCCAGGGGTCTTGTCCATTACCTTGCGACCCGGTGTCTGTCGAACACAAACCAGCCGTCACGCAAGGAGTCGCACCTAAGGGTTACGGGTTGCGAGATCTAGCTTCTGAAGATAAAAAGGTTTCGAATCTTGAAGGGGTGTCGGAAAAGGTTTTAAGGATGTTGATAAGGGGAGTGGCAATGATTATTGCAATTCCCCTTCACTAAACCCTTATAAGGGTTGTAGGGTTCTGGGTATTAGGTTCACGGTTTAGGGGTGTGCAGTTTAGGGCGTAAGGCTAAGGGTGCAAGCTTTGCAGGCCGGTGTTAAGCAAGCCCTGAGCCGTGTGAAGCTCTGGCTTCTTTCGGGATGGGGGCCTCTATTCTCAAAAACTGCTTGCGATTGGGGAGTAGGGTTTAGGGCCTACGGTTTAAGGTTGATAGTTTTGGGTTTTGGGTTTGGGGCTTAAGGTTTAGGGGCCTCGCGCATAAGGCCGTTGTGTGAGGTGTTATCGGTGTCTGGCTCTTTCCAGTTCTTTCTACACAATGCACAGGATGCTACAAAGGTTTGACAAATGGATTCATATGGGCTTGACACATAACGGTGTTAGGGGCATGTCGTCTTAGTAAGTAGGGTTGGACAGGTGTTTGACACATGGGCTTGTAACGAGTCTTGGTGCCACCGGGGTACTAAGTCAAACAAGCGTCCAAGTACAACCTCAATCCCGAACTTAAACCTAACATAGGGGCTTTAATAAGAATGGGGTTTGGGGGTTCCTTTTTTATTATGGTTGAATATACCCCCAAACCCTATTCTAAGTATTGAGGCCCCTATATTATTGAAACCAAATCCTCCAATTTGCGGTTTGGGGTGGCCGTTACATTGGGAGGTGTTAGAGAAGCGGGTGCCTGAAGCCTGTAGCAGCATCTTTTCGTGCCGAGAGTCTTGCGCCTGAATGCCATGAAGCGCACGAAGAGCTCGATGGCGTAGTACGTGCAAAAGAACTGAGCTTTGGAATTTAGGCATTATGGTTTAGGTCAATTGGACTCCCTTTGAACTGTTCCGACAAGAACGATCCAAAAATAGATCTGTCTTCGAAGGCTTAATAACCCTAAACCCTAAACC